AAGGGAAAGACCTAAGAAGTGGTGGTGCGATGTCGTAAAGAACGAGATGAAAGTGGGAGGATAGGCTGAAAATTTAACCAAAATTTCTCGAATATGGAATCCATTGACTGTTAAAAGGACCAAGCTGGGAAATGCTTGATATTTCATATATAAGATTATTATTTTATTTACATATTTTTTAACTTGGCATTATATTATTCAATATTTTATAGTGGGGTAACTTTTTTTCAGACTTCCCAAAGAGAAGAATTTGCCCGCGAAGAAAGGTTTCGTTCAAGCAGTACATTAAGAGGCAAATATAAGACAAGTGATTTTGTTCGTAACTTATAAGCCATGATATGTCCAAATATTTTTTAAGGTACCAGCGCTTTCGGCGTACAAGACACCTGCTTTCAATTGATGGGTCAAGTTGACATAAGTCTGCCGTCGATTCGGCAGCGGAAGTTTGCTCTGCAGGGGGTAATTGCGGGTAATTGCAGTGCAAGCCACAACAGATAACGCTTCGCCGTTTAGGTTATCCGGTCGGCACCGATTGAAAACGTCATTTTTATGAAGCTACGCTGCTGCATCGAGGGCGTCGAATCGGTGGAAAGGCGAGGATTTTTGGTAGACAATTTTTTCCTTTAAATTTACTCCATTTTCAGTTGTTTTTACTTACAGAACATTTATGAGGAGCTTAGTGATTTGGGCGCCTGGAGTCGTTACTGGTGCATCATGCGAGATGGAATGCTGAAGTTTTGGCGCTATCCTGAAGACGTTGAACAAGTACTACGCTCTTGTACATTAATGATTGCGTGTGTTGTCTTGATCACGAATGGCTAGTCAATTTGTGACTTGTGTAATGGATGATGACAAGTGCCATCCTCTATTGAGAGTGATGACGACATGTTACAAGTTTGGAAATGGGGATATATTTACTGCATCAGAATTCCGGGTCTTGACCATCTCAGTGGCGGATAGATAAAAATTCTATTTTATCATTCTATACTATATTCGTTCTTCATAAACTTTGAGTAAGATATTTATCAGTATCAAAGATTTTGATTTCTCTTTAAGTGATCATCTTAATGCAACTTTTCTATGCTTCTGTCACCTTGTTGCATTGCTCAGTCTTTAAATCGTAGTTGAAATGAAAGGAAGCGAATATTATTTGCTTGTTTTATGACAGGTTTCTCTTCACGGGCCAAATTTCATGGTGTACTGACCTGCCGTTTAAGCAGACTGCAACTCCTTGACATTCAAGCATTTGCAATGCAAATGCCCCTCTCATCGTTATGTTTGCACGAGCAGCCTCATGCACATCGAATGATGTTCTACGAGCTCTAGATGTTTGTCAGGGATGTCCTGACATCTCCTACCGATGCGTGGATTTGTTTTGACTGTAAAATAGCCCCCCCCCCCTGAGTATCCCTCTTCAATGAGTTCAGATTCCGTTGTTTCGATTACACATGCGGTTTAGCCAAACTAGGGCTCAGACAACTGTTTACAAAAGCTAATTTAATACCCCTTTCCCCAAATTGTACTTATTTGCATTAAAGGATCATTTATGAGCAGAGTGCATATCATATAAGATTCTTGTCGTTTTCAGCATCTGTTTGAAAATTTATCTTTCGACGAGTGCGAAAGCTTATGCTTGACTATTTTAGTAGTGAGGTACTAAAGACTTTTAATCGTGACTCAGTCCGATATCTTTTTGCAGAATCCCATCTTCTCGATCAATCTTAGCCACTGCAGCAAATTCATCGAGTCGTTAACCAGTGACGTTTGCGCAAGACCAAATACGATGGAAATGGACGTGTCTGCTTCCGGCCCTGATGTGCCTTCTAAAAGGTAAGCATGTTAATATATTTTTCGTTATCAATATTTTAACTGAATATTTGATGTTTACTGCTATAATTTATCAATAGTTTATTAATAAAAACTTCTCTTCATGTTTTTAGTTTAAATTTCAAACTTTTTCAATTTTTACAGGACGATTATCTCTTGTGAAGTTTCATATTTAATGCAGTGCAGTTCTTACACTGAAAATTTAATGTTGCGCCAAGACTGTATGAAACGAGTTTTAAAATTCAAGTGCAATAGTGTGGTTCTTTTCTGCGTATGTCTCTCAATAGCGAGGCTACATCATGCTGTAATTTGTAGATTTTGATGTTTTATTTTTCTCCGTAAACATATATTAAATTATGGCAAGTTTATGAAGACATTAGGTTCATAAATTAAATTAATTTCATCTTGTCTTTGTTGATTGATTTAACTGCCTTAGCACTAGTTATGTATCAGTGAACGAATTCATTTTGGATCAGTAAGTCTGGCACTGGCCGTCTGCAAGAAATAAAGAACATGTCCCTAACTTTGTATAGCGGACCAAAGGCATGAGATGACAATTTCAGGTGATTATGTATTACGATCACAGTTTCGCTCGTTGACAAAATGGATGGATCGAAGGAGATCATTGTGTGCCTTGTTATTTCAGAAATCTGTTAAGGGAAGATGATTAATCATCATCGTTTTTAGCAGTAGCTCACTGCTTCTGTGTGGTTTAGCTTTACGCAAGTTTTCAAAGTTTTGAGTGCCCTGTTGTCTGCAGGGACGATGGCACCTTGATTTGTTTCGAAGTTGTAAATTTAACAGTATAGTAATGTAGCCATTCACACGACTGAATTCAGTACAGGTGTTGAGCCTGAATAACTTCGTAATTCGTGCAGCATTTGCATATCTATTATCACCTGTTATTGTGCCATCGGTGCGATTATTAATCCGCCATTGTAAATGACCACATTAGTCAACACTGACGTTTTGGCTTTAAGGTTCAGTGACGGCCGTTAGGCTGCTTTTATTTTTTATTGTATCAGAGTTTTCCATTGACACTTGGTTCCAGCTTCAACCACTTAATGTCCTTTTTATTCATTGTGTTACCTCAAGTTTTCGCCTAAGGTGATAACGGGTCTGTTACTAGTATACAAAGTATGGTTTACTATAGCGTATGCTCTACAGGGGGAAATGGTGAATGGATAAATCGTTGTTAACACCTGATTGAATTTTTTTGTTTAATATTTTGATATTCTGTAGGGAAAATTTAGGATTACGGTCATTTATAATCGTATAAGAACGCATTATTTATGTTGTGGGAAAGGGTTGTTCACGATTGACTCTACTCTTTGAATAAAGAGTCAAACAGAAAAGAGTTTCAGACGGTCCTAATGAATAGCATCAGAACACGTGAAGAGCATAGATTCTTATCCACAAAGATTAGAGTCAAGGCCCAAAAAATACGGTGCGAAGACGATGCGCAGGATTATGGTTATGTCTTCATCTCTTTGCACGAAGGATCATAATCGTTTTGATGTTTGTCTTGGACGATAAGTAAAATCGGCCCAATTCTTCAGGTACCTTTTGTCCGCAGAAACCAGGGACGAGCTAAAGAAATGGGCTAACAACGTGAAAGTGACGCTGCGCGAGTTCCGCATGTGGAATCCTGATTTGAGCACCGTATCGGACGTCTGAATGTCTCGTTTTTTATCAGCCTCATTTTGCATATCTTCCGTTGATATCTACGCTGCCTGTTACTTTTTTATACTGTTTTATGCAAATGATGCGGTCGCGTTGTTAATTGATTTTATCTGGCATGATTATTTGCATGAACATGTTGTCTCGCATACTTACGAAGTGTATTTGCAATAAACGTTTTATTACATTTTTGTAGGTGTAGATTGTGTTAAGCATTTTGTTTTTCTTTGTGGTTGTTTATTTGACTGCCAAAACCAAGGTACAACTTAAGAATTTTTTTCTAAATCCATTGTTGCACTTGTCTCCCTTACGGGTGCGCCGTGAATGCGGAGTCGATAGTCTCTAGTCGCTACTTTGCCTCAACCGCGGATAAAGTAATTTGACCATTGGTACATCTCAGTGTGTTCTTGAATGACGAACTCGGCGTTGTTAGTCCAGCGGTACTTAGTTTGTCATTCTTCACATCCAACGGTTCTCTTTCAGCGGGCTACATGACCAGACGATCATGTTTTGCCGCCTTATTAGTTTGTTTTCCAAATAAATACGTTTTTAGTTGAGGGAAGGGTGGGGATAGAGTAATGAATGGCAATTATTTGCTTTGCTTTCCGTATGTTGCAGATTTGATTGCGATTTCCCATTAATTTTGTTACAGGCTAATTTGAGTGCTATTTGCCCTGTAATGCTCGTTGAAAGTCAGACCTACTGTTCTGCGTTAATGTCCCCCTTTCTATTCTCTGACTGCACATCATGTTTCAACCAGCTGTTCATTCGCCTGGAATTCTCTGGTGTCACAGAGAGCAAAGATCAGCGTGTTTTTATCCGTCGTTTTTGACAATTTCTAATAACTGGGGTCAGATGCATACTTTGTGCCATTGGATCGTAATGGGAATCAGTGTCAGGTCGATCGATAGGTTGTTTCGTCCGCGCTAAGTTAAGATTATTTGCTTGGTAGTGTTTCTAACTATACAATCGAAAAAATATGGTCAACACTTCGTTTTGTAGGAACTGCTTTTTGGACAAGGCTTAGGACCGCGTATGATTTCTTGCAATTTGTGAGCATGCTTATTTAACGACACATCAAGATACCGTTTTTGCCATGTTTTTCAACAGCATCAGCAACGATTAAATCACAACACCCTTTTGTACTGCCGCCGGATGGTTTACTCTTCACGTGCTTATCTCACATCTAACTCGGTCACAGTTTAAACAACCTCTCTTTTAACTCAGAGGTTGCTGACCAAAGATATCATAAGATCATTTTGCATTCAAGATAATCAGCACTCAATGTCATGGCATTGCCATTGCTTTACATGATTCAACTGTAATGCCGTATCCACTGCGGTATGTCTTCCAGCAAGGCGATTGTTCGAAGTGATTACCGGAAGTTATTCCAGCACTGCAAGATCAATGCGTCACTCACGCCTGCGGAATATCAAAATCATTGTAGAAAGTTCGCTGACCGTTGGAATGTGAGTTAGACGATGACCCGTACGCGTTTCGACCTCATGAATCCTAGAAGGTATCGCTGAACACTGTGTTTAGCTGAAGCAGTGAAAACGCTGAAAAGTGGCTTCCAATTGAAAGCTCTTGACAACTCTGTGAGTAGACGATTCCAGCTTCTTTCCACAATAGATATAGCTTTCTCCGATTCGTACTGCTGTGCCATTTGAAGCACAGAACTTCACGTAAGGTGGTTGGAAATATTGTGGAAAGTCTGAATTGCTCCAGCTCTGACAGAGCCGTTGAAAACGCAAGACCAATAGCGATTATGCTTGCATCAGTGCGTGCTCGTTGTATGTACGAAGCAATTAATCTGAGTGTTGTTTCCGGATCTGCAATGGATGAAGCCCCAACGGCATCTGACCTTACTTCGAAAACCAATGCGACTGACTACTGTAACGGCGATCAGTCGCCTAATGCGTCTATGTAATAGGCGGTAGGTAGGAAGGGCAAAAACTGATTTTCGTTGGCTTGGAAAACGAAGAATAAAAAAATCAGTGCAGCACTGACTAATACTATGCAGCTAACTCCCACATATTTATGTGAGTTTAGTGGAAGCTCATTTCCGCAAAATAATTAACTAGCTGTACGACCAAATGGCTTCATTACATCAACACTGCAAGCAAACCATAGGCGAGTCATTTCTCAGCATTGACAAACAAGTTTACTTCCAAACATTAGTACGTTTTTAGATTAAATATAATGACAGTAGTGCTGGGAAAAACCAAAACTAGGATTCCTGTTTCTCTACCACACAGTAAGTGAAAGAGTGCTTGCGTTTCCGTGCCAACGTTTAGCGAAGCTACAACAAGATGAGCAATGCGTCATATTCCTCATTCAAGATAAGGAAAAATCATCAAATTGAGGAAAATAATCGGTGGCGTTTTGCTTTCATTTCGAAATCCAGCGGCGACCGTGTGGTTTCTTTCACGTAACCTTTGAAAGCAGCTGTCAGCTGCTAAAATTTTACTTCCATTGTTACTCACTTTCATCAGTATATTCTTGTGCAAAAGCGTCTGTTACTGTAGCACGTATACTTCGGCACATCCAACGCATACTAACGGCATCATGGTTTGTTTTAAACGATGTGTGAACCAACTCGGTTTTTGATGTCTGTCTCTGCACGTAAAGATGCGGGCTGAAGAGGGAAATTTCACGCGTCTCGACTTTCTGAACTTCTACTGACTGATGCCGTGTTTCTATAAAACTGTATTTACTGTTTTCGCTTCTGGTACGACTGTAAATTAGTCGTCAGTATGTTTACTTTTACTTATTCTCTCAGTAATGCCGAAATTATTAACCTTAAAGCAGGAAGCAACCAAGCTTAGATGCTGCCCTCAGAGCCAGGTGCGCTGGAGTCTATCCCTGTAATTCCATAAACTTCTTTCAATAATTCTCTAAAGTATGTGGGGAGCGGGCTAAAGAGGATATGCTAACGAGATTACAGATGATATGCTGCTTTCATATCAAAACATATCGTTTTGAGGTGGAACGCGCAGTTTTCAATCCGGAAGTGAAATAATGGGTCAAGGTCTGAATTGAGCATCCAGCAATAACGATGTCATCATTTCTTAATACTACCCTAGTTCTGAAGCACACGTAATAAATATTTTTTAGCAATACGACAATGAACTACGATTGATCTTACGATCTCCGAATCTATATTTAATAAAGTAGGCCATAGGGTAAAGAAGATCGACGCCGTCAATACGTATAGTCGGTAGCACATCGAATGTCCCAAATTTTCGTCCATGCCTGCCTACTGTTGAGGTCGCTGTGCGGTTCGAGCAGGTCGCTGACCCCTCGTCACCAGTCGAGCCATGCGTTCGAGTGACACGCAGCTGGAATGGCGCCCAAGAAAGCCATTGCAATCGTCGCCGTCACTAAACGATGGGCGTCGCTTTAAACACGGCTGGCTCGCTGTTGTACGGCATGCTGGTCTGTGTTTCCTCTCTCAGTGTTCAGCATACAAATGAGGTTGTCAAGGATCGAGGTACAGCACTCGGTACGCTGTTGGTTGTTTTGTGATTCACTGACCTGCTTTTAAGTTTCGCGTAACACGATGCGTAATCTGTATGGAATCCCTGTTCCCGGAAACGTCATCGAAGCCCTAGATGTACTGAAAGCCTACCTCCACCTGTGCACGAACGATTTCAAGGAACGTGAACAGAACAAGTTCATCTCCAAGGTAAGGAAAATTTGAACAAATTTGAATGATTATGGTTATTCATATTTTTGTCGCAGCTCTTATCCAGCCCGAACGCCAAGCAACTCGTTGACCAGCTATATCAGAACCTCTTTTCCAGCGTAGGAGAAGTAAACGCGTCGCGACTGACCGGAAAGTGGTACCACGTAAGAC